TAAGATAACGATGTTTTATTGATTTAAAATTTACCATTAGATAATTCTATTGATATATGTTAAAATTTATCTTTCAAAAAGTTTCAAACTTTGCTTATATACAAAGAGATATCGTTGACTTTGTTTTCTCTTTACTTTTCTTCTTTATATAACTAGTTTTATGGCTTAGTTATGGTAAATAATTGTTTGTTCTACGTTGTTTTTCTAACTAATTTTTATTTTGAATTATGAAAATATATAAATAAATTTATGTGTTTTCTCCACCAAAGAAAATTGAATCATGAATTATTTTCTTCTTCTTTTAAACTTTACAATTAATCTGTGTGGAATGAAGAATTTTAAAGATTATACTTTTAAACTTCTCTATATGTTNTTATATCATAAATTATGNTCGTAAACTTGGTTTTTGAAACCGGCTATATGTGTTTCTTAGACGTGCCACACAAAATTCAAGCAAAAACAAAATGAGTCTATGAAAATGGAAAGCACATATTTCCCAAAAAACGCCGACTAGACCAAAAACCCACACAAGTACGAACATATATGCGAAATAAATGAAAAAATTNAAATGATTAGTAATATATNTAACATATGAAATTGTTTAATTTAAGTGAACTAATTGTATATATAACATATGGACCATCCAAATATAAATACATAAAACTAAGAATTCATCAATTAAAAAGGAAAATCAAAGTGATTTGAATAGATAATTGTTGTTTTTTATAAAAAAAAGAAAAGTAAGTTTTTGTGGGATAAATCATTAACGTATGTTTTGTTATAATCTTAATTTATTTATTGACATATCAAGATTATTAACAAGTATAATTTAGTAAAATTAGTTAAGAATAAGTGTAATTTAAAAATAAAATAAAACAAGGTGTAGTTTTCAAAATTTAAACTGTTGTGAAGGTATTTTTCTAAATTTCCTAGGTAAACATTATTGATTCTATAAATATTCTTGGAGGTATAATTACTAATATATTAAAAAAAAAAAGAATTACAATATTATTGGAGGTGGGAAAAAGGTGGGGTTGCAAAATAACTACCGTGTGACTACACGCACTTGACCAACTCTCC